TACAGTATTGCATGATTTGTAGATTATATTTAATAGTTTACACTTTGCATAAATGTTTGCAATTAGTTTTTAAAAGGCAATATTACATTCTTAAGGACTCTATGCTTGTGTTTCTTTTCAGGAGCACTTGTGCTCCTACTTTAAAAAAAAATTTTTAAATAGGAACACCTTCTGATCAATGACAGAAATTAACCTTCCTATTAAAATGCGATATTTGACTCCTTAAAGGTTTTTAAAATAAATAAATTAAAAAAGCCTTTGTAATGCCTCTAACTTTATTAAATGCATGCCATCTTTTGTGCCTAAAAATTTAGACATAGACTTTTAGCAAAAAATTTAATTAAACAATAAATTCAATTAAAATAATAACATGCAATCAGGAAGAATAAGTTACTAGTCAAATTAAATCAGCATCAACAATTCATCTTTGCACGGCACAGAAGAGCACAAATGTGGCATTACAGGCTTTTTGACAAGACTCAGAGGTGACATTAATGCATTTCATAATAACAATGTTATGAAATTAATGTTTTAAATATAAAGTTTTGAATATAGAAATATTAAACGATTTAAATTACTCAATTTATACTTTAAAAATAAAACTGAAACCGCCAGTAGGTGGCAGCAAGTCACTGTCTTTGTCACTGAATCATTAATTCAATGGATTCGTTCAAACGGCTGATTTATTTAGGAACGAAGCAAAAGTGACTCTCTTTATGAATGGGTCATTGAATCATTGACTCACTAGATTTGTTCAAAAACGCAGATTCATTCATAAACGAAACAGCGCTGTTTGCTTGGAGATGCGCAGCGGCTCAGCTGTGACTTTGTTTGGAACTATTTTCGTTGGCGAAATAGAGCACAATCAGACAATAGTGTTCCTAAAATGTAAGTCACTTTATTTTATATTAACTTTTTTATATTTAACTTTAACAAAAGTTTAAATATTAACTTTTGTATAAAACCAAAAATGTATAAAACTGTCGTATAAATTCAATTTCACATTTGCAAACTCCCTTTAAAATCTGTCACTCGTCTGAGTTCATGGCAATCTCACAAACTTCCATTTTAATTATTGAAACTCTCTACACTGCACACTGAAGCTATTATTTACATCGTCTCTACACTTTGTTTGTAATAATGAATGACAAAAACTGCAGTCTGCTCTCACGATCTGTGCTGTGAGGAGCAGGACGCGCACCGATCGAGAAGCATTTCTATTGGCTGCAGTCTGCAGGTATTATGGCCAATCACAAAAGACCGCATTGTGCAGCGAACCATAGACACAAATATATTGCGCTAGGTTTATGTGCACAGAACTGGGATCGCTTTCGTATAGTCTTCTGAATGGATAAAATATAGAAATCACTTTAATTTGCAAATAAACCTAACCAGTTGGAAATAAAACACCGTCCCCCCTCGAAATTCACTTCCCGGACTCCGTCCCCCCCATTTCCAGCCCTGACTATCTTTTAATCAAAACATAAAACATTATTTTTGTATCTGCGAGGCGTCCGTTACACATTTTCCCTGTCTGACTTGACTCTTGGTAATGTATTTTGCCCCGCCCCAAACATATGATTAGACTATCAGTCGACTATCCGCAAAATTCGAAAATTCCGATTCGACTATGAAAATCCTGAGTCGGGGACACCCCTAGTAATCAGATTACTTTTTTTCTTCAAGTAACTAGTAAAGTAACACATTACTTTTTAATTTACAAGAAAATATCTGAATTACGTTTTCAAATAAGTAACTCCAGTTACTTTGTTTTCCCATTTATTGACTGACAGCTCTCCTGTCCCAATGTTGAGAGAAATCGAGAGAAAGTGCAGAGGCGTTGTGTTCACTGTTATTGTAGTTCTGGAATAAATGTGAGCATGCATTTACTCATCTTATACTTGCACACAACAGATTCAGTATTCCTTGAAATGAATAAAAACAGTTAAATGCAAACCTGCAATAAATAAATGTTAAATACATAAATATCCTTTATGTAGCCTATTTAGGCCTAATCCCATTTTATTAACCAGTGTCTTTACTGCTGACCTTCGATGATCCAATTAAACTATACTAACAACCATAACTTTAGACCAGTGGTCGCCACGATCGACTGGTAGATCTTTATCACTGTCCCAGTAGATCCCGAAAAAAACAGTAAAATAAGTACAAAAATGCATTACATTTATGGGGTTATATTAATGTATCACTGAAGGGTACTGTCTTGAGAAAAGTTTCGATGGCAATGGCATTTTCTTCTCATATAAAGCGCAGTCGTGATTAAAATGCAGTGGTTGCCTCTTAATTTCAAATGGCTAGATATTTTTGTTTAAAGCCAGTTTGTTTGTTATAAAGCAAATAGCCAATAAATAAATTTGCTTAAAAATCTGTATCAGTGTCAGAATCCAATTTGCTAGTTTAAAAATAAAAAAGAAAGAAAGAAGAGAAAATCTGAATTCTGAATCAGCTATGATCGGCGCATCACTAATTAAAATACTAAGTAAAAGGCCTCAAATTTGAAGTACAATCTGGGATGTCTTTTTCTATCAATTCTTCAATAGGTAGATCTTGTCTTTCATAAAGGCCGAGGTCAGGGATCTTGGGCCTAAAAAGGTTGGTGACCACTGCTTTAGACAAACATAAGATTTGTGTTTGTTGTGTTGAACGTTCTTCTCCTGTGTCCTATTCTTAATGCAATCTAGAATGGCCGCACAGAAGAAATGTTTCAGTGTTGCCAACTAATTTTCAGGGGAAGTTGCTAAAGGCTGGACAAATTGTTGCTAAAGTTGCTAAATGATATTGTGATGCCATTGCACAAATGCATCGTTATCTAATCACAACGCAAAACTGAATAGAATATACAATCAGATCACTCAAATCTCAGCAAAAATATGATTATGAATATGATTTGAAATGTTAATTTAGATGTGTTAGTGAAACTAAAATATAAATATAATAATATATATTTTTTAAATACAACATTGAATTATTGAACATTTACACATTTTTTTACGATTATAGTTTATGTAGGCCTATTTTCTTATTAACTAGTAAAACTACACATTCTGAATAATTATATTTTTAAGCAGTGGATTAGTTAGTATGCTACACTTCAAGAAAAGTCTGTAAAATAGGGCACAATGTACTGTGATAATTTATAGGAATTTTCTGTATTGATTTTTTACAGGTTTTTTAATGTCCTAGCAGAAAATTACCAGTAACTTTTCAATTTTTCTACAATATTTTTAAACTGATTAACAAGTGCAGGTACAAACTAATAACAAGGTGTTATCATAAATGAACAATTATTAATGAACAATTGCAACTCACATGATATGTGTCCTGCTAGACGATTTTTGTGTGTGTGTAATGCAGATAAAAATGATCGCCTTTTTATCATTTGAGTCACAGTTACTAAAAGTTGCCAAATAAATTTTAAAAATTGCTCAATTTGTTGCTAGGTGCTTTTTGAAGAAAAAAAGTTGCTAGGGTAGTCTGAAAAGTTAAATTGGCAACACTTGTGTTTGTTTGTGGTGCGCCCTCTACTGTACAGATGTGAATTTACATTTCCTTCAGCCAGAGGCTTATATTCATTTCGCTGTGTGAAAGTTGTGAAAGGTGCAAAAGGGCTTTTACATTTGCCAAAAAGATAACTTTTTTTATATATTAAAAACAAAACAAGCAAATCCAGCCCAGATGAGAAAAGATAAAACACAAAAGTAACGTAAGGCACTACTTTCCAAAAAAGTAACTAACACAGTTACTTTTTTAGCAAGTAACGCAATATTGTAATGCATTACAATATGGGAATAAGAGACAGACATAAAGGACAAACCGAAACCACAAAGCCATAAAGAATAACACTGTTAGTACTAGGTAGGACATCTAGTGGTGAACTTATGAAGCTACAGGTGAAAAGCCACATTATCAAAACTAACTTTCACTTTAAACAGACAGTCACATACAGTATAGATATAGAGCAGAGTCTGAGGGCAATTTGGTTACTATAAGAGCTTTGATAATAATGTTGTTTACAACATCAAACCTGCAGGATTTCCATACCTCATTTTATATAATTATATTTGTGTCCACATATTTAGATCAGAAATATATTTCTTAAAAAGCTTATTTGTTTATTTATTTTAATTTGACTCAATTATCTAAAGGTTTTTTTTTTTTTTGCTTTTTGTTACTGTAAGAAAGCAGGAGGACATTGTTTTCCCCTGCTTTTTTCCTGGAGGAACTGATCCTTTTTGTCTTTCCTTGTCTCTCTCTTACCACTTTTATTTTTATTTACCTGTATTTTCATTAGGTTCTGTTGTGTTTGTTGATGAGCAGGTGTTCCATGGCTGGATCGTTGACATTTTTTAAACAGTACCTGCTTTTGGATTCTCTCCTGCTCTTTTCTCATCTTCTTCTCTTTATTTGAAGTGACCTTTTTCTCTGCCAGTTTATAAAAGTCTCTTTTCCTGCTGACTAACAGAGGACAGCTGGCTGATGTTGTTGCCAAATTCAATTTCTCTTGTCTTTTCTTTTCCTCTTTTTTTTATACATATAACTTTCACGGTGTCCGTTTCCATCCAATCAAGCTTTGCTTATGCAGGTGGTGGAGTTTCATATTCAGTCTTTTTCTCCTTTTTTGTTCTCCTTTCTTGTCTCAATTCCTCTACCACTATGATCTCTCTCTTGCTTTTCAGGACTTTCATCTTCTATCTTTCTCTCTTTCTTTGTCTGTTCCATTGTCTTGTTATTTTCTGCATGTTTTCTGTGGAGGAGTTGCATCCCCCCCCCCCTTATTCAGCTTTACGGGTGACTTGCATGATGTTTGTTTCTATCCATGCCACACACACACACACACACACACACACACACACACAGACATCCGGCTGACTCTTCTCAGCTCCATGCAATTTCGCAAATATTTACATAGTAATCTGGACGCTGAATCAGTGCCTTTAAAGAATGCTTTGGAGAGTTGCCACTCATTTCCCGGATGGCTGCTCGAGCGCTTGCTCTGCTTTGCAGCTGAATCTTTCTCCTATATTTGTGACAAGCTTTGATATTTAGTGTTTTTGTTCGTAAGGGGGTTCTCCGAGATGCTGCCGTGACGTATGCGGCTCTCCGCCAATCACAATCCTCAGATCAAACATAACCGACCAGCACTTGTCAGTGAGGGGGAAAAAAACCCACCGCGAAATGCAGGTTATTTTGCCAGCGGCGGTGAAATAAACCGAAAGCGTTTCAGATATAGAGTCTTGTGCTCCTTTGAAGGATTAAATCACCATTTCTGCCTCCTGAACATTTTCTATTCATCTCCTTTCGCGTTTCGTCTTATTTTAAGGATGTCTGTGGCGGGGTTTAAGAAGCAGCTGCACAAAGCGAGTCAGGTAAGGAGACGCCCGCGTTACGCTGTTTATCTTATAATACCCAAGTTCTGAGGGTCTTAACAGGTGGATGTGGAGAAAGCGCTCGTGTGTTGTTTGACTGAAGCTGTCTGATTGGTTTCTGTGTTTCTAGAGGCCCGTCAGAGCGGCAGAAACGCCGCAGAGCCGCTTTACTTCTCATCTCAATATTTGTGTCAACTTTGTTACATTTGTATGCTATCAGCGCGTTTTAGTTTATAAATCTCCGCTCACTGTGACGTAACCATGCGTTTTTTTAAATGTTGCAAATTATCCCTCAGCTTGCTGTTGTGAGGCCTGCTTAAATGAAACTGGTAACTTAGGCCCTAATTGTAATAATGAATTGATGTTAAATGCATTATTATAGTAATCATAATCATCATCTGCTATCGAGGATGCCCTGGAACTGAAATATGGAGGTGTTAAAGTAATAACAATGTTAGATGATACGGTGACGCATTGCTGCCACACACATATTATTTTTTTCCACTCAATTATGTCGTAATAACGAGATGTTATGTCGTTCAAACGACATCTTTTCTTGTAATAACAGATGTTTTCTCGTTAAAACGACATATTTTCTCGTAATAACAGATGTTTTCTCATTAAAACGACATCTTTTCTTGTAATAACAAGATGTTTTCTCGTTAAAACGACATCTTTTCTCATAAAAAACGAGATGTTATGTTGTAAAAACGATATAATTATCTTGTTAAAAGGACATATTTTCTCGTAATAACGACATATTATGTCATAAAAACGACAAATTGTGAAACTCGTGTATTAAATAAATTCAGTGCACACAGACTGAAGTAGTTCAAGTCTTTGGTTCTTTTAATTGTGATGATTTTGGCTCACATTTAACAAAAACCCACCAATTCACTATCTCAACTGATGCACCTGCACATTCGGCCTGTGTGAAGTTTCTGTCTGGCCAAAAACGGACCGAATTTGCATGCCCTGCTGTAAATTTTGACCGGTTGATGAAAAACAAGCTTATGTGGATTCTACACATTTAAACAATTCAGATAAATTATCTAGAATTATTTATGGAGCAGATAAAATACATATAATCATTTATTAATCAATTATCATTTTGACATATCTTTTCTTTATTTAAAGGCTGAAATGTGAGGTTTACCTTATAATGAAACTTTTTCAAAGCTTTATTTGAACATTTACATTAGATATTTCAACATGCTATTAAACTGTTGTCAGTCAAGTTGTCATTTAAAATCCGAACATCACTGGGCTTAATATTTCTTTATTTGAATGACTGAAGTTTGATTTAACAACAAATTGAAATACGAACAAAAAGAAATAAAGAGATTTTCTAATAGGCTAATATTAATAATAATAATAACAATAATAATAATAATAATAACCTAATAATATTAATAATATTTGAAAACGTGCAAACGAAAATTAAGCTAGATTTTTTTTAGGCCTATTTTTGTTCTTGGGTAAACAAATGAGCTTATGCTTTAATATTTGTTTCACATGCGTGGGCAGCTTTGATACTTTAGTCTGATTATATATTAATTATGTATTAGTCGCACCCTGTTATTTTACAAAAGCAATTTGTAACGTTTTGTTGTTATTGTGGAAGTATAGAAAATAAAGCAGACATTTCTTTCCTCTGTTATGGAGTAGCCTAAGGGATCGCGCCGGCGCCGCCGAACCGAAAAGAACAGTGTTGGGCTTTATATGAGATGTATATTTGCAAGAAATATAGCCTATACAACAGCCAGACAGTTTGAAGAAACATTATTGTGACTAATTTGCAGAGCGGTACATGATATGAACTCTTATTCTGTGTGATGAGATAGGCAGTAAAGACGGGTTGAGAGAAAAGTGGCGTTTTTAGGGCCGCCCACGCACAAATAGCAAGCTAATTTTTTAACCCACAAATAGGGCTGGACAATAATTCAATATCAATATGTATCGCGACTGATATCAATTTTGGCCATATCGTCCAGCCCTACCCACAAACAAAAAATATGAAAAATCTAGCTTAATTTTCGTTTGCCCATTTGCCAAACAGAACAAAATAATAATAATATTAGACTATTAGAAAATCTCTTTATTTATTTATTTTTTCATATTTTGATTTGTTGTTAAATCAAACTTCAGTCATTCAAATAAAGAAATATTAAGCCCAGTTTTGATCTGATCATAGCCTAAAGGAGTCATGGGTCTGAGTGCAGTTATTGGATAGCACTATATTGTAGACAGATAGGAGATTAATCCTAATAAACATGCCGCTACAATTAAAATCATTACATTAAAATAAATTTAAAACAGTGTATTTCAATAATTTCAGCAGCGTGCAGATCCTCGTTTATGTCAGACTGTGGCGACAGCAGCGCGGACAGTCGCTTAGCTCGCTCACATATAGCCTACCATATATCAATAATAACAGTAAAACAGTTTTTATGACATAATATGTCGTTATTACGAGAAAAAATATGTAGTTTTAACGAGAAAATATGTCGTTTTAACGAGATAATTATATTGTTTTTACGACATAACATCTCGCTTTTATGAGAAAATATGTCGTTTTAACGAGAAAACATCTGTTATTACGAGAAAAGATGTAGTTTTAACGAGAAAACATCTAGTTTTTATGAGAAAAGATGCCATTTTAACGAGAAAACATCTGTTATTACGAAAAAATATGTCGTTTTAACGAGAGAACATCTCGTTTTTACGAGAAAATATGTCATTTTAATGAGAAAACATCTCGTTATTACGAGAAAAGATGTCGTTTTAATGAGAAAACATCTCTTTATTACGAGAAAATATGTCGTTTTAACAACATAACATCTCGTTATTATGACATAATTGAGTGGAAAAAATAATGTGTGTGGCAGCAATGCGTCACCGTAAGATGAAACGTTGCAGACATAAAATATTCCATAGACGATATATAAATAACGTTTTTTTTGCTAACATTTTGAGAACAGTATTAAAGACCAGATAACTCTGAATAAACATTTTATTAACATTACTGGAAGAACGTTTGTTCATAACTTTGAGAGAACCTTGCCAGAACATTAGCCAAACTAGTGTGTTTTCCATTTGCTTTTCTAAAGGTATTATTGTGATTTCTCGTTAAACATTAAAACTAGTTTTTGTTCTGTTACTAGTAACAATTGGATCAACAATCTGCAAACAAAGAGATGAAAATGAACAAAACAACAGCTTTGATGGGATGTGGCAGTACACAAAATCCAGTTAACAACCACTGCATAGTCCCCACTCTAAATGTTTTTCAATAATCCATTATCGCTAGATGTACATAACAATATGGAATAAAAAATAGTTACCACTGCAGTTTCTTTGCAACTTTAATCATTACCATTATGCAAATAATGTTTACATTGTTAGTGGTATTTTTCAACATCATAGGCAAAACACAAAATACAATATGTCATCACTTAATGTTGTACAGTTAATGAATGATGTCCATCTGTTTTGCCAGAGAAATCCCAGTTTAACAGCTGTACAGCCCCAACAGTAGGCACATTCATACTGTAATTGTTCTACAGTTTAATTTCTGTGTTAGTAGCCTTCTTTGTTTGGCCGTTCAGAGTTCAACATCCTCTTCTTTGAATAAAGACATTCAGTGGAAGTGCAGGATGTGTTTGTTTGGGAGAACTGTCAAATCTCTCTTTACCTGATTAATGTTTTGCCATATCTCAGGTAGTAGGTGGTTCTGCATCATTACGCTTTAATGATGTAGCTTCAGCTGTACACTTCAAATTATAGTGGTCTGATAGTTTACTGTAATTCCTGTAATTTACAACTGCAGTCATCAGAGACTGTAAAATAAGATTTAATGCATAACTCTTCACAATCTGCATAGTGAATAATTAGCCCTTGATCTGAAATCTGTATGGCACAAAAACTGAGACCAAGGAATCAGATTAGTGTTACATTTATGGACTAATTTGTTTGACATCTTCTGAAGAAGGCTTGTTTATGTAAAACTCATTGGCATGTTGCTAAAGTTGAAATTGAAATTGATTACCAGGGTGTTGCTATGCCGTTTCTAAGGTGTTATGAGGGATTTTAAAATGTTGATTTCTCCATGACTTTCTGGTCTCTATATGGATCAGGTAATTTCTTTTTGGCCACTAGTTTTATGTTTTAGCATTAAAAAAGTGATATTATCCCAAAGTGTAAATGATTTTCGTATGTGTGGTATGGTTTCTGTGGGTCTTAAATGACCCTTCCACAAATTAAGGCCATAAAAAATATTATCCCATAATCTAGATAATAGTAATTCCAGTCAAACTGAACAAATCCAGAAATGGATTTTTATAATCTCATATATATATAAAACATTTTTTTTGACATGTAGCCTCACCAAAGTCTATCTCCTAGTGTGGCAGTTGTTTTTCATTTTATTGTTTTGTAACCCCATGCTGTGCCCACTAGAAGGTCTGCAGTTAGTTTTAAAAAAAATGTTATGGTAGTACGCTTTTGTTTTGGTGGATATTTTCCATTGTCTTTCTAAATGGCTCAACAATAATGTTTTGTTTCCTGCTGCAGTGGTTAAAATTTGTACTTGCTCTGTTGACATTTCCATGGACCCTAAGGCAAAATAATAATTTTTTGCTCATTTTACAGCTTATTTTCATTTAAAGTGACATAAAGTGTATTTTAAATGAACATTTTATGATTTCATGAGTAACTCTAATCAGACCTGTTATTTTATACTGATTGAGTCAAGTCATGAGATCACATGACTGACCTAAATACTCAATTTAAAACAGGAACCCTCCAATATTTGGACACTTTCATCAGTTAAATAAATCATGGTTGACCTTGTATAGTGCATTTCTATCAGTAGATGTTGCATCCACATTGCTATTATTTATGTACACGTTTAAATTATATGGTGCATTTAAACCGACTTTTAATGCAGCGATGCAGGTTTTACGGCATGCATGAATGGGTGCCGTCGGAATGTGAGTCCA